TAAGAAATCGTTGTTTACATCATACCGTTTTCAGTCAGTTCAGAAAAGGTTCTGTAATTGTTTGAGATCAAGTGCTTTGAAAAACGCTTTCTTTGCATGGACTTTAGTTTCTTAAAAAAATTCACAGTCTTACGGTGCTCCTGCAAAAAAAATCCTCTGCAGCAGGTTCCCCGTTTCGTACTAGTATATTCGAAACATTAATCCCATTCATTCGACGTCATGCACCGTTCATCAGCCGATGAGACACTTCACCAGTTTGTGTTACAATTAGAGCTTCCGATGGGGACGCATATAGTTTCACTTTCGTAATTTCCAAACTACTCACTAAATGAGCTCGCTCATTCGCATCTTCTTCAGCTCGTTGCCGCTCTGTATCGACGGGATGTTCCGCTTCTTGTTTCTTCCAATTTTCGTCGATGCGCCGCTGCCTTTCCTCCTTAAAAACCAGTTGAAAGCCCATATGGAAGTAGGGAGCACTAGCGCTAATGTTTTCGTTGGTTCTAGCTGCTTCAATTATGGAAAAAACTTAGAGAATTATTCCTCATCTTTATTCATTTGTAACGACATTGCTTTTATATACCATTCGAAATTCGATGAGAACACCTCTACCACCCCTTCGCACCAATTTTAGCTGTGGAATGTACCAATTCCGATCCGCGCAATGATGTTATACGAGACTAGGCACAACAGCCGTTGCCTGGCAAAGCGCTTCCGATGCGACAAGATCACAATACTAATACCAATGTGAATATTAAGCAGGCGAGAGTGCCTTAGCTCCAGTTAGCGTGGAGTCTCAAAGCTAATTTTATACATACAGTCGAAAAAAAAACAGAAGAGTATTTTTTTCTTTTCATGTCTTTTCATACAACACCCGACTTCACACTCAGAATGGAATTTGGAAAAATTTGAAACTCTTGAACAGACAGCTTCTAATTATCCGTTCCGTACCTGAACATCGTACAGGCTATTCGGCTCTCTAGCCCAGCCAAAAGGAAATTATGAGGTAGCCACCATGAAAACATGATGTGACTTCGGGTGATTTTCAGTGAGATCCGTTGCCTTGGAGTCTTTCATCACCCCACTGTCCTTATTTCTGGTTCCTCTTACCTTCTGTAAGCCTCCCCTTCTAAACGTTTTGTAATATATACAGGATCTTTAAAGACTGTTGACCTCAAACGGCAATCCTAGACTTTCTTATTCATATAGCAACAGACCGTTTTTATTTCTAATATGAGCCAACAGAAACATGCTTTGTTAAGCGTTCAACAGTTTCATGAACTAACCTCTTCGCGTCGCTGCCGTTCTTGCAGTTCCTGATCTTCGCGTTTCCTCCTCTCTCGTTCAGCGGCGACCCGATCTACTGTCTAAAAATGCATTGAAAAAGATTTTTTGGAATCGCCGGAAATGTGCAACTATTTTCTGAAAAACAACTCTGGGTTGTTGATTAGAAACCATGTGCGCTCATTAACTGCATTACTATGACGATACTAGCACATTAGATTCTGATTACAGGTCATCGATTGAGGTTTGCCATGCTAACTGCTGTTTTCGTCACAGTTCGATTCTAATCTCATCAAAATAGTGCTGAGTCATCAAATTTTCAGGAAGCAGGAAGTACAAAGCTGCAGTCGAGGAAAGCGTTTTTATTTAGCACCCTTGTAATGATGTCTAAATCAATGATGTTTTTGAGGCACCCTACTTTCTGAATGAGAAGCACTTCATTTGAACTTTCGAAGCTGGAAAGATTCTACTTCATCCTTAGAAAGATTCTACATTTTCGAAAATCCCAAAAGAGAACTAAGGAAAACTATTATGAAGATCCTCAGAAAAAAAAAACGTTATTTTGAATTGCTTTTCATTTTCATGCAAAATATGATGATGCTAGAGAGTATGAGACAGGAACACGTCGAACAACTCACGTCAGTAGTCGCCAACTTCTCAAATCGAGCACGTAAGTCCGAGGCTCGAGCTTTTGCAGGAACTTCAACTTTCTCGCGATGACTCCCAGGACTTGGTGATGGCCGATCATCACCACGAGTTTGATTATTTGATTTGTCGATACCTAAACGATGACATTCGAGATCCGCCATCAGTATTAATTTGCGTTCGATTTGCACTTTTTGCCAGCTATCTCCGAATAAATGTTTTTCTGGAGTTACCCCTTTTACACTTTGATTTGGTGCACCCTCCTAACCTGTTTTTTTTTTTGCTTGAAGAGAGCTCCCAAGGGCATTTACCGACGAAAGGACAAGCCCTGAGCAGTTTCTGTTTCAAATGTCATGTGCTTTTCAGCAATGACACATCCATAAATTTAGATGCATCGATGACGATCCTTTTCAAAGCATACGATAAATGGTAGAATGCAGTGTCTGTCACTGTTCCATTAAACCTAGGTGTGATATGTTCTTGCTCTGTCCCCTACACCCCCTTCGGAACTCCCTTTCTTTTCCTGAAAGTGCCAAACGCTCAGAATGTTTGCAACTGAAAAAATATGACACTTTGCAGAACGCTTCAAGAAAGCGCCTTATCAAATTTAAAACAAGGATGAAGAAAAACACCTTTATTGATTACTTGGCTCTCATGTTTAGCCAATTGCTCATGGTACTCGAATCCTGCAGCGCTACGATCCTGTCTATCAGTCTGCACTCCAAATTGGCCTCCGAAGCCTTTCTTATAATCTAGAAGAGAAACGTTGCAAAGAAGTTTCAGTCAGAGAGGAAAAAGGACAACACCTGTCTGGCTCTCATGTTTCCCAAGGTTGTCGTGAACATCGTATCCAACAGCAGCTTTATCCTGTCTATCCGTCTGAACACCGAATTTGCCGCCAAATCCTTGTTTATAGTCTGAAAGCATTGGTTTTCAAACGATTTCTCCTCATCTAAACGTGGTGAGTAACAGACCAGTTTGACTGGCGTGCTTCGGAACTTGCTCCTTTGTATCCCAACCCACTGCTGAAGCATCCTGACGGTCTTTTTGAACGCCAAATTTGCCTCCAAAACCTTTTTTGTAGTCTGGAAATAGACTTGTAAGGGATGTTCGCCCACCAGCATCTATAGCCACACTCAAGAGGTTATATTGTACACCACACCTATGAAGTTTTTTTTTCATTCTGATCGCCGAACTCCTCTCCTTAACCTGTCATAATGCCGTGCCTTTAGAGGTCCTGCAGACGACCGTATGCAACTCTCCCTTATCGATTCTTCACTTTCATGCAGCTATTTAACAACCCTTGTTCAATTCCATATTTCTGATCTCCAAAATCTCCCATATTTCGCTCACAGCCGGAACGATATTACTAAAAGGTCTGATTATATATAATAACCAGTTGGCGCCGCACGCATTGCGCGCGCAACACAGATCTGTGGCGAATTTTGATGGTGCGACGAAAAATTTCAAATTTGGCTTGATACAATACGAATATCTGAATTCTCCGCTAAATTCTATGCGCTCTTTCTTCGTCAACCATTATCCTATTTTTCTCGGTCCTCGGCCCGGACAATAAATCTCGTGGCGAACTCCGTCTACTTCGGTGCGTGCCCTGCCGACCAATAGCATTTGGCTCCCTTCTTTTCGCCGACCTCTACCCCCTTTTTCACCGGTCTCTGGGACCTCTTGGAACCAAATTACGACACTTTTGGCAAACTCCGCCCACTTAGGTGCGTGCTCTACCCACTAATAGCATTTGACCTCCTTTCCTTCGCCGACCTCTACTCCCTTTTTCCCAGCCTCCTGGACTTCTTGGGGCCGAGCTATGACAGCGCGGTATGCGGCTTAGGTGGCCACGAGTGGGTATGAATTTTCGTCGCAAACTCCGCCCACTTTGGCCAAGCCCCGCCTACCACTGGCCTTTGACCTCCACTTTCCCACCCAACTATATCTTCTTTTTTCCCCACTCTCCGGACTTCTGGAACAGAGTTCTGAATTTTCGTCGCAAACTCCGCCCACTTTGGTCAGGCCCCGCCCACCAATGACAATTAACCTCCACTCCTCCACCCACCTCTATCCACCTTTTCCCCAGCCTCCGGAGCTTCATGGAGCCGAGTTATAAATTTTCGTCGCAAACTCCGCCCACTTTGGTCAGGCCCCGCCCACCATTGACAGCTGGCCTCCACTCCTCCACCCACCTCCATCCACCTTTTCCGCGGCCTCAGGGACTTCTTGGAGCCAAGTCATGAATTTTCGTCGCAAACTCCGCCCACTTTGGTCAGGCCCCGCCCACCGATGACAGCTGGCCTCCACTTCCCCACCCACCTCCATCCACTTTTTCCCCAGCCTCCGGAGCTTCATGGAGCCGAGTTATAAATTTTCGTCGCAAACTCCGCCCACTTTGGTCAGGCCCCGCCCACCAATGACAATTAACCTCCACTCCTCCACCCACCTCTATCCACCTTTTCCCCAGCCTCCGGAGCTTCATGGAGCCGAGTTATAAATTTTCGTCGCAAACTCCGCCCACTTTGGTCAAGCCCCGCCCACCATTGATAGCTGGCCTCCACTCCTCCATACACCTCTATCCACCTTTTTTCCGGCTCTTTAGGACTTCCCCGACCCGAATTATGAGGGCTTGTAGAAAATGCTGTACACTTCAGAGCGCGCCCCGCCCATTCTGGGCAGGCCTCCGCCCACGTCATGTATGCGGGAAACACCTTAGACATTGCTCCCTTACACCGAATTGTTTTCTGCTCTGTAGGCTTTCTCCCAACCGAGTTATGAAATTTTTCATAAAGCACTGCTTTTTTAGAGAACGCCCCGCCCACCGGGGGTGGGTCTCCCTAATTCGATGTTACTTACCAATGCACACCTTAGCCCACTTTTTGGCCCAGTTTCGAGGTCGTTTTTCACTGAAATCGAAATCTTGGTCTTTGGTACAATTCATTTCGACGCACGCCACGCCCTCTGTGGGCGGGGCTCCGCTTAGCTGATGTGTGTTTTGTATTACGTGAGACCCTGCCCACCCATCCCACACTTGACCCGGTCCCTCCAGGCGGATCCCGAGGAGCTAGGGAATTTCGTGACAGACATACAGAACGACAGAGGGACAGAACGACAGAGGGACAGAACGACAGACGAAGCGCTTTATAGTATGTAAGATATTTACAACGGGTGCATTAGGAATTCTATCTAAAAATACTCACACTTCCCTTTGTCTTTGAATTGACAATTTATTAAACGAAACATACCCATTTGGCTTTCGTGTTTCGTAAGCTCGTTCTTCTCGTCCCAACCTGCGGCCGATTTATCCTTTCTGTCAGTCTGCACACCAAATCGACCTCCGTAACCAGTTGCCGCGTCTAAAATGTACTCTTCATAATTCATAGCTGAAAAATTATTCACAGTACACAACGCGGGGAAAGTACAAAGGGAAGAGGAGCCAACAACGTCTGCTATGAAAACAACATGAAGTGAGCTATTGTTGAGAATTAATGGCCAAACTCCCAGATAAGTATAAAGTTGACACAATTGCCGATGAACAGCGCAAACTAACACAAAGGACAGTTCACCTGTGACCTTGCCTTTACACGGATGGTTTGCAATAACACCACTGAAGAATACTAAGCAAAGAAAGCAAAGAAGAGAAGAAAAAAGTGAACAGCAGTTTCACCAATGGTAGTGAAACACAAACCTTTCTGGCTCTCATGCTTTGAGAGTTCAACCTTCTCGTCCCATCCTGCCGCCGATTTATCCTTCCGGTCAACTTGGACACCAAATTTTCCTCCATACCCGGTAGACGCGTCTTAACGAATACTGTGAATAAATTCTTGCACAACCATAGATAGACAATGGTTCTAGTGAAGGAAAAAGGGCGCTTTATCTGAGTCTTTTCGAGTGGAGGGGAGGGAGAGCAATGGATGGTGGTGCAGCATCACTCTCGCTTAAGGCCAAGAGATCAAAGTACTGTCAAAATGAAGGGTCGTTGTGCGATCGACCAAGTACGCCGATTTCTTCAGTTGAGCAAGAAGAATGACTTGGTATAAAACACCACTGTACATTATCCATAGATATACTGAGGGTTAGCAATAGGCACCGCTCTTAGGAACATGAATACTTATATCTATGATTCCACACAATCGAGAAACCGGCTAGCTACTCCAAAATAATGAAGTCTCAAACGGACACGAGCAAAAGTTCAACTCTGAAATCTTGAATACGTGAAATGCCACTGTTAATTAAGATGCAAATGCAATGGACCATGCAAATTCTAAGGGAGTACGAAGTTCATTATAGAAATAGTAACAGCCAGAGCGTTTTTTTTTTCATGAAAATTTCGGTGGATATTTGAAGAATGATGTGAATCGTTTACCCGATGATGAAACCAGCAAACTTTCTCCCACTTTTGCTCATCTTGGAAAGAACTGAACGTTTCTGCGGAAGATTACAGTGCTTCGAAAGAAAGAGAAGGGAATGAGAGAACAGCTTCCACGTTTTTAAAACCAACGACAATGAGCTTTTCGTTCGACCACCCAATACAAGACTTTTTTGACAACAAATGATAGCAGCACAACCAAAAGCATCGGCCGGTCTCGCAATTTAGCTGCCTAGCTTTGAACGATTCACATTTATAAAATTGAACTGATAGAAAGGTGAATATTGTGGCT